TTTAATGGTCTCTGAAGTAGTTCCGGTTGCATTCTTCAGTTCAAGTATATAGTCTCCAGTATCTCTGATAGTGGTTTCACGAATGGTTAATTTAGCTACCTTAGTATGAGTTTCAACTGTGACACGCTCTGATTCTCTTAGTTTAGAGCCAGCAAAGAACCAGGAAGCAGCAGGAGGTGGGCGACCAGCAATTGGTATCACCAGCTCTACTGGTCTGCCGGCTGGGACGTGGATGGTCTTTTGAGGCATTGTAGAAAGATCGATTGCTGGCAACACTATGAGAAAAAGTAGGCATTTATTCATAAGTATTATTTCTAATGACAAAGTGTCATGAATTCTGAATGTTTCTTTCACTTTCCTTTACTATTATTGTTATTTTGGTGATTCGGTACATACCTCTGAGGTCTTGTACAGTCACGGCTGTGATGATCTCTCTTGGTTCTGACACACCTTTCTCGTTTTGTGCCCTTACTCTAAATAAGTACTGTTCACCTTCATTTAAGGAAATAACAGTGTGCTCTAGGACTGTGGGTTTTAAGGTGACAACCTTCATCCATCTCTCGGTGCCAGCTTTGCAGGCCTCAAGAACATAGCCAGTGAGCCGGCTACCACCATCGTAGAGTGGTTTTTCCCAGGCAAGGGTAACAGTCGATTTGGTGACATCGACAACTTCTAGCTTCACAGGCACCAAAGGTACTTCTGAGACCAGAACTGCATCAGATGTTTCACAAGGTTCTCCAATGCCATAAATATTTTCTGGCAGCACTCTGAAATAGTACATGGTTCCTTCTATAAGTCCAGAAATTCTGTAGAGCGTCTTGCTGCATTTGGTAGTTACTGTTTTGAATGCTCTCATGGCAGCTTCACGCTTCTCAATAATGTAATTGTTGACAGGAGCTCCACCATCAATTGTGGGAACTTCCCAGGTAATGGTCACAGAATCTCTTGATACTTCCTTAACTTTCACTGAAGCACAGGGACCAGGAGTATCTAAAACAAGAGAATGAAAGATCCATACTTCCTGTTTGCCTGATTGGTTGATAGATTTTTTGGGGGGCAGGAAAATATACTCAACATAGTTCCTTTTAGAGAGGTGATAATCAGAGGTCAAGGTGTATCTTTTTAAAGAATCTACTCACAGCATAGTTGATTTTAAGACAAATACTTACCATATACTTTAACAAGGACAGTTGCTGATTTCTTGCCAGATTGGTTTTCAGCTTCAATGGTGTATTTTCCAGCATCATACCGGTTAACTTTGTCCACAATAAGTAAAGAGTAACTCTCAGTGTTGTCAATGATCGCCCGGCTTGCAAGGTCAATGCCCTTCTTGCTCCATGTGATGACGGGTGGTGGTCTTCCAGATACAGACACCATCAGCCGCAACGAGGCCCCAGCTCTGATGGTCACAATCTTCTTTAAATCATCTGCAAGCTCAAGATCCGGTATTTCTGGAAAGTAAATGTCAAAACTTAATTAATTCATGAACAGGTGCGATGAGAAAATAATTCACCTAAAACCTTATATTATAAATACCTAGTCTTTCCATGGGCTCAATTTCAGCAGTTGACTCGCTGTATTCACTCATGCCCTTCACGTTCACAGCAGCGACTCTGAAGGAGTATTTCTGGCCCATCTTAAGGTCTGTCACAGTGAATTCATTATTTCTTATTGTGGTCTTGGTATGCACTCGGTACCACTGGTCAGTGTCCTTCTCTTGCATTTCAAGAACATATCCTATGATGTCAGTGCCACCGTCATACATGGGCTTGGTCCAGGCTAAACTAATGCTGTGTTTGGTGGTATCTACAACTCTCGGAGCAGAAGGTGGTCCAGGGGTATCTATGAAATTTTAAAATAAGGATGCAGGTATTACACAAATAAGGAAGCTTGAGATTTGTATTTTTGGTTTTCAAGACTCACTGAGGCATTACTCTTCTTTGTCCACACTCACCAAGATACTCTTTGTAACTAGGCTATTCTGACGTTGCAGGATAGCACTGTATACTCTATTATTACTATTATTATTGTTTTAAGAGTTAAACTTCTTTAGAAAGGTAGATGTTTCTTTCTGGCCACTTTGGCTAGCTATGCTGTGTCCTGCTAAGCTCATTGCTAACAGTACCCATTCTCAGGGACTTTTCTTTACTTGCTCAGCTTTCAACAGGGTTAATATCACTTGTCACCTCTACATTGCTAATAAGTACAGGAATAAGTTTCTTCTACTTCCTCGATTCAATCCAAGTGATTTATTGCTTTTAGTTCTTGGGCTTAAACTTTGTACAAGGATTTGCCACTTATTTCTGAAGCTTTTGTGACAATTATTTTGTTAGATGCTTACTAAAATACAAGAAGCTTTATGCTCTGCTAAGCCTCTTAAAAGAGATGTTGTCTTTTTTTCCTTTTCAGTAGTTATTATCATTACAACAAAATTCTCTCCATTCTTAGGAAGATTTGCAAAATACATCCCTTTCATATTGGTAGTAGAATAGTTTATTTTTTTCACAGATTGGAAAATACTGCAACAGTTTTTAGCAATGTAACTGCTAACTTATTGACAGAAGTAGTAGTTGAAGTGTTTTCTGTCTTAGGCTGTATTTAAGATCCTTCTAATAAGCATATGACTTTCTAGACCATTCACAAATTCTACAAGTTATTGGAAATGGCATGTTGGAAAATTATTTGTAATGTGGTTTTGTTGGGCATTAGGGTTATGTATGATTCTTGGAACTCACATGATGGTTCTCTGCAAGAGATAAAGTTGGAAGCTTCGCTGGGTTCGCTGTTACCAGCAGCATTTACTGCGGTCACCCGGAACTGGTAATCACAACCTTCCATCAGGCCAGTCACCTTCAGCCTGGTATCATACACCACATGGTCTTTGTTCACACGTGTCCAGCGCGAGCTCTTCTTCTCACGTTTGTCTACTAGATAGTTGCTGATCTCGTTGCCACCGTCAGATTCAGGTTTTGTCCACTGAATGATGATATGCTCTTTGCCAGCCCCAACTTCTTCAGGTATGCCAGGTTGTGATGGAATAGCTATTTATATTTTTATGAAAATAAAAGGATGATCAGAATCGCACAAAATCACTATTGCTATGACTGTCCTCCCTTCTCCCTGATCCCATTACATTTCAACTGCTGAACTGTTTGAGTGTTAATACTCACTGAAGGAGTTTCTGGCGACAATGGGCTCTGATTCAACAGGCACACCAGGGCCATATTTGTTTACTGCCCGCACTCGGAATATGTATTCGTTGTTCTTGATGAGTCTGGTAACCACATAGGATAGGGTTGGGCATTCGCCTTCCACAATCACCCAGTTGAGTCTGCTAGTCTCGCGTCTTTCCACGATGTAGTGAGTTATTTCTGCACCTCCATCTTCCTGAGGAAGGCTCCAGGCTAAAGTGCACTTCTCCTCTGTTACTCTGCTGACGGTGAGCTTTCCACATGGGCCCGGGGAATCTGAAACAGGTGTAAGGACGAGCAATGAGGAAGGTGTTTCTTTCTGCCCACGCTTGAGAAAGCTATGAAAATCAAAGATCATTTGACGTACTTACCGAGAACTTTGACCACGACAGACACGGCCTTGGTCCCACTGGCATTCTTCACCGTTAAAGTGTATCTTCCACTGTCACTTCTGTCACAGAACTTGATCACAGCAGTTGCTCGTTTGCCAGTGTACTGCAGAGAGACTTTTTCACAGAGATCTAGTTCCTTGTCCCCTTTGGTCCAGATAATTTTGGGTTCAGGTTTGCCACCAACTGCAGCATCGAGAACAAGATCCGAGCCTGCTCTGATGGTAACCAGATCACCCTGTAATCTGGCATCGAGTTCGGCTTTGGGTGGAGCTGTCATAGGCAAAATAGATGTGAATGAATATATGATAGTTTATTGTTATAGAAATTGTGATAGTTTAAAAGGAGAGCATTGACTATTCTTTACCATATTCATCTCGGCAAGTGATGGGGCCTGTAGATTCTGATCCTTTGCTAATTACGCCTGCTGCATTCTTGGCCAACACACGGAATTCATAAGTGTCTCCTTCACTGAGAGCAGTAATGGTGAAGAAATTGTCAGATACAATGGTGTAGTTGCACTTGAGCCAGCGACCATCTCCAACTTCACTGACTGGCTTACGCTCTATGATGTAGCCTACAACCTTGCTGCCTCCATCATACACTGGGGCAGACCAAATCAGTGACACCGTTGATCTGGTGACATCTGTCACCTCTGGTCTTCCTGGTGCATCTGGAAGGGATGCAAAAATAAGGTTAAATGCAACTCTGAATTTTGCTAGTACCAATAATGATGACGATGATGGTGATGACGGTGATAAACAAATGTACCCTTAAATTCTGATACCTACCAACTGGGTTTTGAGCCATCATAGGTCTTGATGCTTCACTGGCTTTGCTAACGCCTGCGGCATTGAGTGCGTACGTTCTGAACTGATATTCCAGTCCTTCTACCAAACTGGTCACTTTGTAGTTGCACTCTAAGCATGGCAGTTTGTTTTCTTTCACCCAAAGAATGGTGTTACGTTCTTTCTTCTCAACCCAGTAGCCGATGACTTTACTGCCACCATCATGATAGGGTTCTTCCCAGCGAATAGACATGGTATTGGCAGACACATGGTAGACCTCAGGTCTGGTAGGTGCACTTGGTGGGACTAAATATAAGCAAAGGTATCAAATATGAATACAGTTTTATAAAATTCAGGGGAAATATTTAACTATAATAGAGACTTGGAAGTACGATTTTTATTTTTCTTACCAAATGGATGCTCAGCAACGATTGGTGCTGATTCCAGAGGCTTGCTGACACCAAATCTGTTCTCTGAACTGACACGGAAAGAATATTCCATGTATTTTGTGAGATGAGTGACTTTAATCTGAGTGCGCTTGACGCTGGAATTGACAAGCTGCCAAGCTGTTGTACCTGACTCACGCTTTTCAACTATGTAATTAGTAATATCGGTGCCTCCATCATCTTTAGGTTCAGCCCATGACAGGATGCATGATTCAGCTGAGACAGATGAGACTTCAATGGGGCCAGTTACTGGACCTGGCCTTCCAATGACCACAACTGTGATGGTAAATGTTTTGACACCAGCTGTATTTTCCAGGGTCAGGAAGTACCTTCCAGAGTCACCTCTCATGCTGTCCTTTACAGACAGGGTGGTTCTGTCTTTTGTTGTTGTGATACTCACTCGATCTGTCTCCTTAAGTCTCATTTCTTCAAGCTTCCATGTTACTTTGGGGGTGGGACGACCACTGATTGGCACGTCAATGGTAAACGTGCTGCCTGCTTTGCAAGTTATGAGCTGATTGGTAATTCCAGTGAGATCAGCTGTGGGCTCAATTTGAGGCTCCTTGATGATGACAGAAGAGAAGGCTTCCCTGGGTTCACTGTAGCCAGCATCATTCTTGGCCTTCACGCGGAATTCATATTCAGTGTTCTCAGTGAGGTGCTCCACCGTGAAAGTCAGCTGTTTGGTGTGACCAGCTTCAACCCAGAAGTCAGATCCCTTTTGTCTCATTTCGAGCAGGTAGCCAGAGATGCGGCTGCCTCCATCATGGTCAGGTTTAAGCCAAGCTAAGACCACAGAGGATTTGCTTGTGTCAATGACATCAAGTCTCTTTGGTGGAGCAGGCTGTTCTGTGGCTACCATTGGTTCTGGCATTTCATAGGGTTCACCAACACCATACTCATTTTCTGCAGAAACACGGAAATAGTATGGAACGCCTTCTACCAGGTCGTTGACCTTGAGGATCTGACGAGTGCATTTTTCACTGACTACCTGCCAACTACGGCGACTGGCTTCTCGTTTCTCCACCACGTAGTGATGGATTCGGGCACCCCCATCAAGGAGAGGGGCATCCCACATCAGTGTAACAGATCCCCGGGTCACATCCTTGAAGGTAATCGGGCCAGGTGGGCCTGGAGAGTCTAGCACCTTTACGGTGAATGTGATTGACTTACTACCGCTGTTGTTTTCCACAGTAAGGGTATATTTCCCGGCATCGTTTCGGTTGCAGTTTTCCACGGTGAGGGTGCTGAAGGAGTCTGTTGTATGGATATCAGCCCGAATGCTAAGGTTGGAGTCAGGTTTGCTCCACACAGCTGTCGGAGTCGGTCTACCCTGATAGGCAATGAAGAGGCGAATACTGGCCCCAGCTCTGACAATATGAGTCTGCTTGAAGTTGGCATCGATGTCTAACTCAGGAGCTGATAATCGGTCAACTGCTTTAATGGTGCCGGTCACTTCACAGCTGTCTCCTTTTCCAGCACCATTGACAGCACTAACCCGGAATTTGTATTCTGCACCTGCTTGTAGATCAGTAACTGTGTATCTTGTTTTCACCCATCCTTCTGCATTCACCTTGTGCCAGTCTCCTAAGTCAGCTTTGCACATTTCAATAATATACCCAATTATCTCCATCCCTCCGTCAAACACTGGCTTAGACCATTCTAAGCTCACAGTTGTCTTTGATGTGTCTGTCACTTTGACCACAGTGGGAGCACTTGGTGGGTTGACTGGCTCTCTACATTTGATTAGTCTTGAGATACCACTTGCAGGTCCTACTCCTGCAGCATTTTCAGCCATGACATGGAATTCATACTCATTGCCCTCTGTCAGACTGGTGACTTTGAATCTTGTCTCAGAGATTGGTCGTTTGCTGATGACTTTCACCCATCGTGTGCTTTTCTTTTCTCTCCTTTCAAGGATGTACTGTTGAATTTCACTGCCACCATCTGATTCTGGCCTTGCCCATGTCAGGGTAATGCTATTGCCTGTTACATTACTAGGTTCTGGAGTGCCAGGGGAATCGGGAGTAGCTGTAAAATGAAAACAAAGAAAGAAATAAACCAATTAGACACATTTGCTTGGAAGTTAACCTTATGACATAGTACCACTTAGTAAAAACGGTCGCTTACTGTACTGTATTTGAGCAACCACTGGGTCAGAATCCAGTGGCCTGCCAACACCAAACTTGTTGACTGCAGAAATACGGAATTGGTATTCATTGCCAGTTATTAGTTTAGTGGCGGTATAGCTGAGGGCTTCACAATGATCCTCAATTAGCGCCCAAGCAAGTCTGCTGGTTTCCCGTTTTTCAATGATGTAGTGCGATACGGGAGCACAGCCGTCATTGAGTGGAGCATCCCACCACAAGGTCATCTTCTCGCCAGTTATACTGGTGAATCTTATTGGCCCAACTGGTTTTCCTGGTGTATCTGTAAGAAAAAGGTTCCAGAGTTAGTTTCTTTCTCCTTATCCATTAAAATGCAATCAGGCATGTCTTTAATCCAAGTCCTGTACATTGTAAGATTAAGAAGCTATTTTATGAGTACCTTGTACTTTCACTGTAATTTCTGCTTTTGTGGAGCCAGATGCATTTTTGGCTTCCACTGTGTATACACCACGATGGTCCCGAGTAGCATCTCTAACAAAGAGGCTGGTGGATCCAAGGACATCGGTTATTTCCATATTCATCCTCTTCTCAATTTCTTCTCCATCTTTGAACCAAGTTACTCGAGGTACTGGCCGTCCTTGCACCAAAGCTTTAATTCTAAGGCTCTCTCCAGACTTAATAGTGACACCATCAAAGTACTCAGGGCCAAACTCTACAATTGGTGCAACTATAAAAGAAAGAGACAATATGCATTAGTTTGGCTTAATAAAGACTTAAATAAGCATGTTTTTCATTAGCACCGTATCATAAAGGCTGAAAGGGTAATGCTTATACCAAAGGCTATTTTGAAAGGATTGATAGTTGAGAATTTAGACTATGGGGTTAAACATTTGCATATTATTAGGTTATCGCCTTTGTTATATCTGTCATGTTATTAATCTTGCATTTCCATTTGTAAAAAGAGAAACATTTACGGATCATTTACTTCCTAATACTGCTGCATATTCAAACAAGTTCCTGTGCGGGGCCATCAGCTGCACTCAGGCAAGGTGATAATTGTGCTGTTGGACCTGTGTTGTGTTTTAGTAACTTCAGTCGAGAGGGACAGTTATTCTTGGGACCTTTTTTTCTTCATTTATTATAAATGACTGAAATCACAAAGCTAAAAACTCATTCCCACTTGCATGCTATTTATATGGAAATGAAATAATAGACGTGGTAAAAAGAATTGATGCTAATTACATTTTTTTCTTCTCTTCATCTGAAAGGTAGAAAATCGAATTCATCCACCTAACAACCTTTAATCTGTAATCTGTATGAAACGCTGTTTCTCTTCCCATTTTTATAGACCAGCCCCCCCCAAATATATATATATATATATTTTTAAAAATGTGAATGCTCTTAGTTACATTGGAAATTGGTTGTAAATGCTTACCATTTTCGTCCCTTGTCATAATAACGCCAGAAGACTGTGAGGGCGGGCTTATGGTTCCAACAGCGTTTCTTGCAAGTATTCTGAACTCATATCGATCCCCAGGACTAAGTCCTGTTGCCGTGTACTGGCATTCGCTGACATCACTAAAGTTGCATCTGGTCCAGCGATCGCTCCCTTGCCGTTTCTCGATGTTGTAGGCGACAATCTTACTGCCTCCATCACGCAGTGGTGGGTTCCATTTCAGAGTGATGGTTTCCCGGGTGACATCAATGTAGTCAGGAGTGCCAGGTGGGTCTATAAATTAGATGCAAGTTAAAGGCATCGTTATTTCTGTAATCAACTCTTAATCTTCAGTGGAAGGAAAATAAATAAATCCCCCAAACTCATTTTAGCCATTAATTGCAATTTTTTTTGTATCAGAGGCTTTAAAAAAAGAATTTTAAATTGCTCTTTTAGACTGATTTAAAATCATCCCCCTTGCTTTACCTGACCAGCTCTCTAGTGACTAGGAAATATGTGAGAAGGTGATACGTGGAAGAAAAGCAGTGTTTGAGTTGTCACTAACACATTCAGTTGCGGAATTAAATATATTTGAATAATCCTCAGTCACTTACCTACTGGGGAAACAGCTAAGGTAAATTTGCTTGGGTCACTAGGTGAGCTTAGGCCGGCAGAATTTTCAGCGTATACACGGAACTGGTAATCCAGGCCTTCCATTAGTCCAGTAGCTCTATGTTCTCTTGCAGATATTGGTGATATGTTAATTCTTTGCCACAGGATGCTATTTCTTTCTTTCTTTTCAACATGGTATCCAGTAACTTCTGAACCGCCATCATAAACTGGAGCATCCCAAGTTAGGGACATGCCATCAGAAGTCACATTGTATGTAACTGGCTTTCCTGGGGGGCCAGGAATCCTGAACTGGTGTTTTGCCACAATGATGTTTGAGTCAAGTGGCTGGCTGACTCCATATCTGTTTTCTGCCCTAACTCTAAACTGGTATTCAGCATCTTTGACTAGATTAGGAACTTTGAAAGTTGTCCGGGCAACACTGGAACACACCATCTTCCAATTAGTTTGTGAAGCTTCTCGCTTCTCAATGCTGTAACAGGTAATTTCTCCTCCTCCATCATCATCGGGCACATCCCATGATATGATGACACTGTCAGCCTTGATTTCATCAAATCGAATGGGCCCTTTGGGCTTTGATGGTGGGCCGAGTGTGATGATTGTAATGGGAAATGAGTTTCGACAGACTGCGTTATCGAGAATAATGGTGTATTTACCTCCATCCTCCTTCTTTGCATTCTTAATACTCAAAGTAAGTTTGTTTTCAGTTTTACTCAAACGAACACGTTCGCTTTCTTTCAACGGCAGACTGTCTTTCAGCCAACTGATAGATGGTTTGGGTTTTCCTTTATAAGGTAACTCGAGGTGCACATTATGCCCAATTCTCACAGTGACTTGTGCCCCAGGGATTTCTGACAGGTCAACTTGCGGCGGAATTACAAGTTCTTTCACTGTAATTGGCCCAATAGTGACGCCATCACTCAGTCCTTTCTCATTTCTGGCAGACACTCTGAATTCCAGGACTGAATGTTCCTTGAGTTGGCTGACCTCAATTTCACATGTCTTACTTACGCCAGCATGTGACCATGTTTGTTCGCCTTCACCTTTCCTTTCCACAGTATAATCTGTGATGACACTACCACCATCAAAGTCAGGCTTGGTCCAGCTCAGGGTAACAGATGTTTTTGTTGAGTCTTTCACTGAGAGATCACGTATAGGAGCTGGTACTTCGGCAGCCTTCACTGGCTGTGTAGTTTCACAGGGTTCCCCGATTCCAATTTCATTTTCTGCAAGAACTCTGAAGAAGAATGGAGTTTTCTCTGACAAATCTGTTACCTTAAAGGATGTGCTAGAACACTTGTGTGACACTGAAGACCATGTTCTCTTGGTGGCATCTTTCTTCTCAATGATGTAGTTAATTATGGGAGATCCTCCGTCAATGAGAGGAGACTCCCAGAGCAGTGTGACTGTGCCTCGAGAAACATGTTTAATCTGTAGTTTCTGGCAGGCAGCTGGTGTATCAAGCACTTTAACGCTCACAGTTGAAGACGTTGGCTGACCAACGCCATTTTCTATTGTGAGAATATATTTGCCCGTATCATTGCGAGTGACTTGAGGAATAGTGAGTAATGAAGATGAATCAGTGTTTTGAATGCTGTATCTGGCATCACTGCCAAGATTCTTCTCGTCTTTTCTCCATGTGACAGTAGGTGGAGGTCTGCCTTTGAAGGGAATCAACACTTGTACGTCTTCACCGGCTTTAGCTATAATGGAGGTCCTGAAAGCCACATCTAGGTCGATCTCTGGTTCCTCTGTAGACATAAAATGGGCATATACAATGAATTTTAAAGCAAGGAAATGAGTGATTTCCTCTATTAAAAAAATAAAAACACAATCATACCAGTAGGTACGTACCAAGTATATCTTTGGCCTGTACGGGTTCAGTCATTTCTATAGGTTCCCCTTGTCCGGCACAGTTTACAGCGGATACCTGGAAGT